ACCCTAAACCCTCATGTCTTATGTAAGATAAACCCTCGTAAATGTACTAGGTGGGTATTTATTTCTTGAATAAGGAGAAGAAATATATCCCTATTTATCTTGAACCCGTCCCTCCCCAGCCTGCTCAAACCCTAAACCCTAAACCCTCATGTCTTATGTAAGATAAACCCTCGTAAATGTACTAGGTGGGTATTTATTTCTTGAATAAGGAGAAGAAATTAATCCTGTCTTGGATTTTTCTGTTAATAACTCTAAACCCTTTCTTGATATTAAATGTCCTTCTGGACTAGCCATTGGAGGGTTATCTTCATCCTGTACATAAACCCTAAACCCTAAACCCTAAACCCTAAACCCTAGATATCGATGATACAAACCCTAAACCCTAATTTATGGCGTATTATACAATGTGTTTCTATTATAGTAATGAGGGTTTTTATTTTATTAAATATCTTGTAACAACTTATACGATACAATGTACAAACCCTAAACCCTAAACCCTAAACCCTAAACCCTAACTCACCATAGGCTCATTAGTGACACAACAAATAATATGACTGCGCACGCGATGCGGCATTGGCAAAGTCTTTATCACTTCAGACAGCTCGGGGATACAAGCAGGGCAGCTGCACACAAACCCTAAACCCTAAAACCCTAAACCCTAACAAACAGTCGCACATACACCAAGATCAATCCAGCAACCCATGTCACGACGATCTCCTTCAGCATCGAGACGAACTAATAGTCTATGCGCTAGGGTTTAGGGTTTAGTGTTTAAATTTTGGGGTTTAGGGTTTAAAATTTAGGGTTTAGGGTTTAGGGTTTAGGGTTTAGGGTTTACTTAGGTGAGGCCTTAATTTGACACCCCCCTGACTTAACAGCGCACAGACCAGCAAAGACCAATGGTGCAAGGAGGGGTTCAGGTGTCATCCCTAATACAGCAGCACTTGTGTTTATAAACAACCCCACCAATTGACGAGTCCTTTCCTCTCCTAATAAATGCTGCAGTAAATGAATTCATACACAGGGTTTTAGGGTTTAGGGTTTAGGGTTTACGTTAAGAAAAAGACAAGATCGTTGCATGCAAGAAAAATGGCTGTTGAAGGGGATGAAGGGACTGATGCTAGGGTTTAGGGTTTAGGGTTTAGGGTTTGACCTCATATTCAGGGGGGGGAAAGTCCACCATTGCTGCCAGTGCCAACACTCGACGAATGTCAGGACACCGATCTGCAGCAGCAGCAACAGCAGCAGCAGCATCAACAGCAGCAGCAGCATTAGCAACAACAGCAGCAGCAACACGTCATTGCCACCACCTCAAACTCTAGGGTTTAGGGTTTAGGGTTTAGGGTTTAGGGTACCTAGATTAGCAGGTTGAATATGTTCCTTAATATACTTGACGGCCTCCTTTGGTTTTTTTTCCTTTAATAAATTTATTGCATGCTGCAGCCGTACCTCTATCTCCAGCACACTCTACAGCAGCAGCAGCAGCAACAGCAGCAGCAGCAGAAGCACAAGCGGCATGAGTTAATTCCCCTCCCCTATCTCTGCCAGACCGCATGCATTTCCCCCCAGTTATACAGCAGCATAATCAGCAGCAGCAGCAGCACCATCAGCAGCAGCAGGACCACCATCAGCAGCAGCAACACCATCAGCAGCAGCAGCAACACCACCAGCAGTAGCAACACCATCAGCAGCAGCAGCACCACCACCATCAGCAGCAGCAGCAACACCATCAGCACCAACACCATCAGCACCAACACCATCAGGAGCAGCAGCAGTAGCAGCAGCAGTAGCAGCAGCAGTAGCAGCAGCAGTAGCAGCAGCAGTAGCAGCAGCAGTAAGCAGCAGCAGTAGCAGCAGCAGTAGCAGCAGCAGTAGCAGCAGCAGTAGGAATAATTATACATTAATTTTTTGTAATTTATTATGATGAATATCAATCCAATTGAATGCTTCTTTTGTTGATCCTCTCATTAATCCATCAACAACCCCACCAACACAACTGTGTACTTCTTCGTCAAAAAAATCCTGTATATATATATATATATA